GTTGTATGCTGCCTGCTCATTTTGACGTGACTGTTTCAGCAATAGGGAAAAGAGGATTGGTTACGTGAAATGTGGAATATGCCTGCAGGACTACCAGACGTCTGTGATAGCACTCAGCTAGGGGATTGACGTGTGCAATGACTGGATTGATGAATGAGAACTTGCCAACTCGTAAATTTCCCCAACAATGATGAATAAAATGTAAATATTCGTGTACTTGTGTACTTTATGATCATCTCTTCTTGCCTTGACTGCTGTCTTCCAATGGATGTCTGTGCACAGAGATTTCGTTTGATTAGTAACCCTGGCTGAGAGGCAGGCAAATTGTGTCCCTCGTCGAATGTGACGCTGGCGAAAACTTATGCGGCCCCAAAAATAAGCCATTCTAACCAAGGTTTCGAATTGCTTGGAACTTCTTTTGCTGCATTCCATCAAGTGTCCTATCAGGAGTCGCCACGTTCAGTGTGATCAGTTATCTCTCCCCTTGTGGTCCCTTTCGTGGGATTCTGACTCTAGTGGGAGGTCGCCTGCTTCGTGCCTCCTACCTAGATCAGGTGGACGTATAATCATTGACTTGACCCCTCTTCTAACTCCAAAAATGTGTTTGCACCGTAGTCTCTGACTGTAAGGCGGGCTTGAATCTAGTTGGCAGCCTTCTGTGCCCCTTTCAAACAGGTCAATGCAATGGGTATTCAAAGCGTCTTTAATAATTCACATTAACATCTGATTGGAAAGGTGTCGAAGTAATTCCGTGGCTCGTTTGTTTCTTATCATTTGAAGAATCTCCTTTGTGTTAGAGGCATTCATCTCAGGCTGGTTGATGAATAATAAAGGAACAAAAGAATGGTTGTACGTTTCATTGCGGCCTTTTTGGACCAAAAGGGAGGAGCAGGGTCGCCCTTTGCCTCACTCACGCAAAAAAAGTTGTCCTTTTGGACTGAGAACCATTGGAAAACTGGAGGTTGGCCAGGGCCTCCAATAGGTCAAGATTCCAGAGGAATGCGTCGACGCCGTCCAACGAGTCAAAAGTGTATGGTGGCGCGAGATTTCACTTGCAGCGAAGGGACTCGATGATTCGAAGACCTGTGGTTATCAGTGCACCTCTGTCGGATCCAAATTGACAGAGGACTATCCCTTAGCCAATGCAGCCTAGTGATCTGCAGCACTGAATTGTCGCTGCGATTGTTTACCAAGGAAGGAGACGGACAGGAATGAGTAAATGTTTAAGGTGCCTTGTGGTACCTAAGGGATCTACGCCTTTGGCATATTCCTTGGTTTTTCAGCCTCGACTTCTTTCCTCTGCCTTTTTTTCTCATTGTTGCAAGCAATACTTCACGCCCGAATTAAACTGGTCTCGGTACTAGTCCTGGCGTAGATCTAAAGGTCAGAGTAAAATGATAATAGTGCTTGTGATTTTGTTTTTTTTTTTAAAACTGAATTATTCGAACTTAGACTTCTGAGGGAAAGGGTCTCAGTTTTCTTGCGACGAGGCGTAAAACCCGAATTTGAAGGCCTCCAGTCGCGAAGGCCAGAGTGGGTTCCAGACTGTCCCATGGTCCCAAATCATATGTGCTCTCAGCACCAAATGCATTCTGCAGCAAATTAAGAAGTGGTACTAGAACATTCAACCCATGGCACAGACAACACATCCCATGTAAGTTTGCATTTGCACTTGTATGAAAACCACATGCTGGCTTAGTTGACTCCATCCCAATACCATGCTGAATTGGATGCACCAACTGCGACAGTGGATTATGTGGAAGGTAAATGCAATTTCCATGTATTGCTCACTCACATGCACCGACTTACTTTGCTTTGCATTTTATTGCCTTTTACATACAACATTAAGTATAAAACCTGCTCACAACAGGTCGGTGGACTGAACTGTTTTCACAAAAAATGCAAATCATTCTCCTTGAGGATATTTGCCCAAGGCGTGTTCCTTTAGTGCAGCTGCGGCTTCCACGTAACATAACCCAGTTCAGGAGTCTCATCACATTCCCCAC